GAGAGAGAGAGAGAGAGTTTTGGGAGGGGGAGAAGACCTGGAAGCCCCTAATGAATAGCTTTAATTTCATTAGCATTATCATTCATTGCCAGCTTGTCCCATTCAGACAAGTGTGTTTGTCAAGTATCCAATTATAAGTCAATGAACTGGAAATTCTCTCGCTCTCTTTCCACCTTTTCCAGGCAGAGCTGCCGACCGAATCGAGGCTACAGCAGTTACCAGAGGCAACGGTGGCAGCTTCAAAGTATTTCAGCGCATTCCTGGAGAACTTTCTGTCACCTGTCCAGATTGAATTAGAGCCTGCGTGCCGTGTGTAGAGGGTCACAGCAGCAGATAGAAACAAGTTTTAATTCAGCTTTTACTGAAAATGATGCCACTACTAGGAACAGGAAGTGTCTTGTCTGACAAGAGGAAGAGAGAAAAGCTACATCACAGTAAAAGGAAGTCACACATAAACAATAAAAAAGTGTTAGATGAAAGTAGATTTGAAGTCATGTGAAGAGGAAGCTTACCTTGACATATTCTCCACTGCTGTCGGTCAAGTCTTGCAGACTAAAAACAAGATACGACAAATTAAAAAAATGACTCTGCAACACTTTATTATAGGGTTCTGTAGATGTATACTCTTGTTTAGTCACTTTTCTGCCTTTACTTGACTATACAGATGTACTGTTCATGGGTTAGGGTTACTTACTGTATCTATGAAGCCATTTTTGTGTTACAGCAACCTTATCTCTGTACATTTGATGACACACTAAGAGTCTACAGCCATACTACAGGCTTTTCTCATAGGTTCAGACAGCTCTTCGGTTGTTTAAAGGTGAAATTTTGAGGTTGTTTCCAAGAGATGGAAATGACATTGGATGGAAATGACCCTTTTATTCATGTCTCTATAATCGCATTTCTGTTTATTTCTGCATATGTTTAGCTTAGCTTAGTGTAGCTTTTCTGGTTAAATAAAGGATCAATAATGTAATTTAAAAAACTCTAGCAAATTAAACCACACTAAATATTAATTAATGTTCCCTTATTATTGGTGTGTACACTGACTAAAATACTCTCTAAGTCACAGCAGAAATTAATTATAATTATTTGAAATTAGAATCAATCTAATCTATTTCACCCTTAATTAGTACCAAACTACATAGTTATTTCAAGGAAACCTCCTTTTTTGGGAACCTCAACAATCACATTTATAAATCTTGAGTAATGATTGAATAAGAGTTGAACACTAAACTGCTTCGTCATGATGGTGTGGGTGTGGTTTGATCAGATTTGATGAATGGTGGCATTTCCCTGGTAACATAAGCAAACAACCCAACCAGGTTCTCGTTTTTATATTACTCAAACCTGTTTGATTTGTGACAATATCTGACATCACCTTTTTCCATCATCACTCACGTCACAACAACAGCACAGGGAAAAAGCTCTCATGTGTAATAGAGGTTGTACACCAGAGACTATTGCACATATCTCTCTTTTTTTGTCTTTTTGATTTGTCTCTTTTTTGTTATTTTCTTGTCAAATCCTGGATACTTTTACCTTTGAAAGCTCCTAAACATTATACAAATCAAACGATCAAACAATGTCCATACTTATAACCTCCGCTGGGGGGTTACAAGGTCACAAACCAAAAAGGTTTACAATCACTAACATTTGATTCTTGATGCTACAGACACATTTTGGTTGAAATCTTGACAGTAGAAAGAGTTAGTGTGTAGTATCAGCATTGATGGGAGTTGTAATAGCAGTAGCAATAGTAGTAGTTCAACAGTTTTCTGTCTTCTTTCTGTCCTGTTGCACAACTCTCTGATAGCAGCAGTGTGTTAATCCGCCACCACCCAGCAACAGCTTGCAACACAACAAACTTCTCCAGGGAGGATGGGGAATATTTCTCCTGCTGCGTGAAACCTCTACAAAATAGTCTGTTTTTTAGAACTGAAGCAAAGGAATCTTTTCTCCCACATGTCCATCCAGTAATCAAACCATCTGGCTTCTCACCAAGTCTGAAGGCTATGGGAGTCAGGAACACTGTCAACTGATCTCAAGAAAAAGAGAAAACACTCAAGCTGCAGTTGCGTGGTTTCTTTCTGACAACAGTGATGTGTTGTGTCAGTAAAACTGTACGCTGGCAATGGCTGTTTTTTTCTGTCACTCTGCTCTTCCTCAGTATGCTGCATATTTCCATGAGTAACATCAGGGGAGGTGACCTTTTGTTCCCAAACACAAACTCTGAGAACAGACAGCAAACACACACATACACACAAACAGATGTGAACACACAAGTGAAACACACTGCAAAAGAAACTCCCTCACAGTCAAAAGCTACATTCACAAACCATATGTAGTTGATCTTATGTCCTGACCTGCTGCTTTGTTTCTGTATGGCGCTCATCTGGTGATACCAGAAACACTATTTTCAAATGATTTTACTATTAGGGTAAACCTCTGTTACGGAGGAAAGCCACATATTTATTTTTGACGTTTCAAGTTTTATTTTCTTGTGATTGTGGAAATATTATTTAAATAGCAAAAAAGCAGATTAAAAAAACAAGTTTGATTTATTGAGATCATGAAATCATTTCCTCATGATAAAATATTTAATCATCTGACCCTTATTAAAAGGAAGGCACTGGCTAACACAGAGTATTCAGTACTCAGACAATGTTAAAATATTACTTTCAGTCAGTAAACAATTAGGACATTTTCAGCTTCTGTGCTCACACAGTCTAAAGGCCTGCTCACACAACTATTTTAAATGGCAATATTTCACACTGGAATC